TATGATGATGTACTAGGGCATCCATGCAAGATATGAAGAAATTATATATTATATATATATATATATATTATACTATATATATATATATATATATATATATATATATATATATATATGTGTGTGTTGTATATATATATATATGAGTAGATAGAAAGTTTGGTGGACAAGGCCTCTTGTCCAATATATATATATTATATATATATACTATATTATATATATATATATATACTATAGAGAGAGAGAGGAGAGGAAAACTTGTGTCAACTTAAGTGGACGTCCACTAAGTTCTTATCATTGATGATCACTTTGATTGAGACTACATTGTGGATGATCCGCCTCCGTTGAACTTGATCTACATATTCTAAACCCCAACACACCAAATTTGGTGTGAATCCGTTATCCGTCATGATTTGACCCTCCGTTCGGACCATGTAAAAAGTTCTATTCATTCGAAACCGTTAAAATTGATACGAGTGGATGAAGGATCAAACCATGACGGGTTCACCCCCAAATTTGGTGTGTTAGGGTTTTAGAATATGTAGATCAAGTTCAACGGAGCGGATCATCCACAATGTAGCTCAATCAAGGATCATCAATGACTAAGAAACTTAGTGGACGTCCACTTAAGTTGACATAAGTTTTCCTCTTTCTCTCTCTCTCTCTCTCTCTCTCTTATATACTATTATATATATATATTATTATATATATATATATATATATATATGAGTAGATTGAAAGTTTGGTGGACAAAGGCCTCTGGTCCACTATATATGTGTGTGTGTATGTATGTATCAACATTGTTATCGAGGCGCAAGGCGTAATGCGGGGCGCAAAGGCTCCTTACGCGCACCATGCGCAAGGCGCACAACAATGTGCGCGCCTCACTAAATTGAGGCGCACAACTCAAACTAATATTTTTTAACATAAGACAAAGAAGCATGTAAGCAACATGTTTATAAATTATCACATAAATAAACCAAAAAATATAATTTCACCGACTAAATCACGAAAAAGTCTTAATTAGCATGCATAACATAGAGAAGTTCATAAGTTTCTACAAATCGCAATACAAGATAATCTCCAACATAAGTAGAAATCTATGAAACAAAACAAGCAAGTAACAAATAAGAAATATGTATTTTTATTTAAAATATGATATATGTATTATATGTATTTTTATTTAAAATATGATATATGTATTTTTAAGTAACAATTAAGTGATTAAAAAAACATGATTGTTCATAATTTGTATTTTTAAGTAACAATTAAGTGATTAAAAAAACATGATTGTTCATAATTTTCTAGTTAGCATTCTTATTTGCTGTTTGCTAGTTAGCATGAAAAGATAGAGAATGGAGGTAAAAATTACATATTACATGTTCATAATTTTCTAATTAGCATGCTAATTAGAGAAGGAAGTTACAATTAACAAACAAGTATACTAAATTACTAATTATTGATTCCTTTTTATAGGTTAAACATGAAAAGATGGAGAATGGATTAGCAACTAGCAATAAAGAGTCTATTACATGATGTAAATATGTAATATGTAAATTATTTAAAAAACAGAAGAAAGAGTTTATTACATGACGCAGGTGTCAAGCGCACGCGAGGCGCGCGCGAGCATGTGCGTGCAACGCCCCGCCTCTTGTGCGGGGCGCAATTGCCCCAGCCCGCAGGGCCACGCGCCCGGGGCGCGCGCCTCGATAACAATGTGTATCAGTCAAAGCTTTCATGTTTGCAAAATTACTCTCCAGTTCTTTCATACTAAACTTTTCTACTCCTCTCACATAAAAATATTGGTTTTTAAACTGTGCAATGCTAGAAATGTTCAATAATGTTCTAACATTTTATTGTTTAAAAACCAAAATTGTTAAGTGAGAGGGGTAGAAAAGCTGAATGTGAGAGAGAATTGAAGGGTAATTTTGCAAATACGAAGATTTAGGGTAATTTTGCAAATATGGAAGATTGTAGAGGCATATATGCAAAAAACCTGTATAAAGAACTGTATAGGGTCATTAGACTAGATCTCCTAAGAGAGTACCAGAGAAGACTTTTATATATTTCAAGTTGTATATATGTCCAGTTCTTCACATATCGATGTTTTCTTACATTGTAATACCCAATATTTATTCTTGCAACTACATATCTATGATGAATTAGATAATAGGTGTTGCATGATCTTGCGATAAATAGTTGCAAATACAACAAAAAAAAATTGATATGATTTTGTAATTAAAATATGAAGGATGTACTAATATGAATTATGAATGATTTCATGCAAAATTTGTAGGCATATGTTGAATGGATGATGAATGTTGGAGGTATCATTTATTGTAGAAGAAAAGGGACACATATGTCTTGATTACAAGAAGGTAGAAGTGACATAATGGAATCATAAAAGATGAGGTGGAGGGGAAGATAGCATCATTGGAAGTGAGGAAATGGACATGGAATTTACGTCCATGATATAGGATGAAATGGAGAGGAATATTTAACCCCCTCCTCTCCTCATTCACTCTTCATTCTCCCCTTTATACCCTCCAAAAAGAAAAGAGAAAGACACGAGGAAGAAAAGAAGAAGAAATAGAAGACAAAGAAGGAAAATGAAAAGGAGATAAAAAGGTAAATGCTAGAAGAATCCAGTCTTCGATTTTTGAAATAGACCATTTGAAGGTTTCAACTTTCAATTAATGTTTCGAATTTACTAATTATTGGATAAACATACTTATTGCTTGAGTTAGAAGATGATATTTATACATGTATCTACAGAAAAGCCAAATAGGAATACGTAGTAACTTTTGAACAGCCACGAAGAAACTTGGGATTACAAATAATTTGTGAGTAGGGTATTACCCCCCACATATTCTTTAATTTACAATATACTAGTTTCACACATGAATATATTATACTGTGTTTATCATGGCTATACACACATGGAATTTTATGTTAAAGATATCATTAAAGTATTTCATGGCCGACGTAGACACGACTTGATTCTCACTGATCTTGATATATCTAGACATTTGATATTGCAATTGTAGGCCATACATGACATGTGAATTTTACTAAATGATATTTGAATCACATTGGTATAGGAATAGCATTGTTTGCTAGTTAAAGACATGCACCAAGAATTTAAGTGATTTTCCTATTGAAGGTAATGACTATTGACTGGAGCCGTTGTATGCAATATAACCTAGAAAAATCATCATTGTATGCACTTTCATTGGATATGGTGTAAAGAATTCCACAATAGTTATTCTTTCTAGACGGCTAGTTATCATAGGCAGTCTAATAGTAGAGTAAGAGGCTGCTTAATTTCTATGCATAAAGATAATTTGAAAGTATATTTATTATAAACTCCTTTGGATAAATTTTCATGAACATGTTATTTACAAGGTTGTGGAAAGCAGAAAGCAAAAAAGCAGAGCGAAGTGGCTAGATGCTACTTAGGCTTTTTTGGCTTAAGCAGAAAAAAGTGCCAAATAGGGGAAAAGGTTGAGAAAATTAGGAAAAACCATAAAACAAATAAGAATTGGAGGGAAAAAGTATACAAAGGCATATTTGATAGATTTATAGAGATGCTAAGCATGGAGATGTACAACAACAATAAGACTCAACAACGCAGTACTACCCACATACTATAAACAATGTAATGTGTTGTAAAATGTACATCAAATAGTCAGGAAGTAAGTGAAGTAATATAAATTATCAAAGGGAAAGCTTTTGGTGATCAATCGCTTTTGGGGCTTCCTTTCGCATCCGCTTTTAGTGGGTTTTTCGAGTGGAAAATGGCTAAGGACCCAAAATGCTTAAGCAGCGCTAGAGCACTGCTTTTTGTCTCTTTTTACAGCATTGATAATTCTAACTACAAATGTATTTAATTTGTAGATTACTGAGCACGTAGTGAGCTCACCTCGAAAATGGTTATCGTTTCAAATTAGTATAGTTTCAGGTATTGAGTCCGACGAGCTTTAAAAATACGACGATGATCATTAGCTACAACCCAATACAGTAACTCAGTAAGTGCATCAGTTATAGATTAGTCTCATTCAGAACATCTGCACTATGTATGTTATGAGCACTATGTTTGACATGAGCACGACTTCTATTATATGCTAAGGAGTTTTTGGAGTTAATATATAATGTAGTTTAGAGGATGTGAATATCTTATGACCATACAAATAGATGTACAAACCAATAATATACTTTTGGATTTGAAATATAATGTTATTATGGATCATTGGATCATATACCTGAAAAATTATGTCTGTTAAACATATTGGACTTACGCTTTGCAAGTCCTCTTGTTAAGGGGATTAGTGGTTGATTGTCATGTGCCTTGAATTTATTTTTAATTGATATTTGTGATGGTTTCGGACGTGACATATACAAAAGTTTTTGAAAATATATAATTGCTCACACACTCGTGTTTCATATTTATAAAGTTTGGATGTTTGTGTCTCAGAATTGTCATGGTATTTAAAAGTTGTCAACTGGTGACTATCAGACCCACAAACTAATTCCAGAAGATAAAAAAATAGGTTGGGCAGGTCCCTCCCCTCCCCACCCTTACTCCCACCAAAAAACCTTATCCTAAAGCATATACAACATAACTTACATACATAATTTTTCAGTAGCATTAAGTTTTCCAAACCAATGGTCTCCCTTTCAGAAACTTCTTGGATAAAGAACTCCAAATAATTTTTCCCCCGTAAGATGAACTCATACAAAGCATGGCCCGAACTTATTGTGTTTCTCGCTTAATATCTTGAGAAAATGATACAATGTGACTCTAATTGCCAAGACTAAATTTCTCTTGAATAACATGTTTTTAAAAAATGCAAATATCTCATAGATATTTATGATAATAAACACCAAAGTAAAATTTGAACATATGGGCCATAACAGTGATAGAGGTGAAGATGCATAATCAAGATATAACCAAAATACTTACGTAGTATACCATGACATAATAATAGAGGTGGAGATAATACCAGAACGATAACAGCAGAAGGAATGCAGCTAAAAACAAAATCTGAGGGCAAGCTGCAAGGAAATAATCTATATGAGACCGAGATCACTCTTCAACTTCTCAAATGATGACCAAACCCATTGGGGGCATATAACAAGTACAGCTATTTTCTTGGGTGACATACCCATGAGGATAAATCCAAAAACATTTAACCAGAACAACCATCCCTGACAAGTTGCCAAAAGAGAAGATGTGAAATACAAGAAGTAACCTGCAAAATAGTCAATTCCATGTCAGTAGAAAAAGTACATGGATGTGAGTGGATCAGAGAAATATATATTGGCCACTACTATATGAGAATTTTCACTATACCGTCCATGAGAACATGCTAAACAATGAAACAAAAAAAAGTTTACACGATATATGGAGTGTCAAAAAAAAAACTAAAGTTAAAATGTGATATAAGATAATAATGGAATGTTGGTAAAAAGGAATGCAAGGCTATCATGCTCCAATTTCAGCTGACACGTGACATGTCCAGAATGCTATATTGTTCAGTGAATATAATAAGTTAATAACAGCTACCAAGCTTATCAAACAAGTATATTAACTTGATTTATGGGTGTAATATCCCAAATTTTATAGGATTATATGAAATTAATATAATTGTCATAGGGGTTAGGCAGATGATTAATAGCTTCGGCTTTTTCTTCACAACTATTTAGAAAGAGGCTTGCTAGTATTAAAGAAACTACTCTAATTATTAGGCACTTCATAACCCCTAAGACAATTATATTAATCTGATTAAATCTTATAAAATTTGGGATATTACAGTGGGTACAGAAAGGAAACTTGATCTATACTTACAGAAATGTCTTATAAGATGATAATGAAATGCTGGTAAAAAGGAAATGCAAGGCAATCATGCACTAATCTGAGTTGATAAGTGGCATGTCCAGAATGTTGTACTGTTGAGTGAACATATCAATACCTATGAAGAGGATAACAAGTGATACAGGTACAAAAAGAATTTCCAGTCAATCAAGTTGGAAAAACAAAAAGATAATAGCCTGTTTTGGTTCGGTTAAGTTATTCAGGATTTTTTTTTTTTTTTGTACTTGTATCCCTATGAAAATATTCAATGTAGGAAGGAATTAACATAACAGTCAGGATAACTTTAAACGCAGTAGCATTAAAAAAATTGATAACCCCACCAATAGTGGTAATAAATTAATGTTTATAAGTCCCTAACCTTCACTTTTACTATAATAATGGTATGAAGTCTGACAAAACAAACTACAAATATCTATCTATCCATGAGTCTCACCCAAAGTTGCCCACTCTTTCATCTTTGATTTCCATCATGCCTAACACACCTTAAACATCAATACCATTGTCAAATCTAGCCTTTTACATCAAGAAGGGTTGACTGTGAACTGACATATAAATTGAACGATTTTAAAGAAAAGGTTGACCAGATTTTTCCAGCAACCCAACCCAAGTTTCTTCTGAATTGCAGGATGAGATAACTATGCTCAGTTCCCTTGGTAAGAAAAAAAGATCCCAACTGAGAAAACAATATAAGAGGCAAGAAGTGAATTAATAATACAGCTTGTAATACACTGGGCCAGAAAAATTCAAACAAATAGCACATGAGTAACCCATTACTATCAATTTTGGTGATTAAGCCATAATATTTGCAGTAATGAAATATCAAACACCAACACCTATAAAAAAAATTAACTAAACATGGGAGCATAGAATTAAGCCTTAGCCTATCAAAATCCTAGAAGGACAACAGTTGAATCATCCAATATTAGCAGACTACAGCTCTATAAGAATCCTACACTTTCAAGTAAAAAACATCCAATTTAAGACGTTTACATGCATAACTTATGATTGCTTGATCAAAGTTTTGATGTTATGTTGTGCATACTAAATATTACTTCATCTGGTTGTCATGAAATGTTTTACTTTATAAAGAAAATAAAGCAGAGAAAATAAATCAAATAGGAACCTTATGCAGTGAGGATAAAACAAAAGGTATCTTGATAAGAACTAATATTCGATAACATTTAGACACTTGAAATGTTGCATAGAAATAGCAATGCCCATAGACATGGAACTCCCGATATTCCAGTGTCAAAACTGTCATGTTCTTAGAAAGCCCATGCCATAGTATGAATTTAACTAACTATAATCTCCGAACATTATACACATAGCAAAATATTCAACTAGTTCTGGAACCTCACCTATGTTGGATGAGCCAATCATGAGATGGAAAATCTGCAGATAGGTTAAGCATTTGATCAATGATCATAAAAATGAACAAATAGTCACAGCAGATACAGAATCTCTATAAAAACAATACACAACAGTCATCTGTTTACAGTATCAAAAGAAAATTCAGTAAGTACAAAGCTAAAAACATGTGCATTTTGCTGGTGATTCTCTTATTTTCTGCAACCATCATTAATTTTATGCAGCCCCTCAAATTCTCAATCATTGGTTTTGAGTTTTGTCTTAAGTTAAATTTGACAATCTCCTCATTGATGTGGGTCGGAATTGTCATGTGACTCGACTATAACTTTTCTAACATAGTCAAGGTTCTTTTCCGTTGCCTTATGCTTTATACGCCCCAATTGGGCATGCTAAAGTGGGTAAATATAATTGGGTTCTACTAACAAATTTTGTGATCCCATGAAGGAACTGGGCATGTTCTTCGTAATGTTGGCTCACATCTATGCCTGCTATTTATTCTTCAGTCATGCTCCTTCATGGATTAGCAGTAGAACTAGTGTCATTAGTAGAATTAGTGTGAGACTTTTTTTTAGAAAGGGAACGTTGCTGGTCTGTGGGGTCGTCGTTGCTCTGCCTTAAGATTGTCTTGGTAAATGGTAAGGTCTCTAAGGTACTATTTGTCTTTTTTCAAAGGAAAAGTAGTACTATTTATCTTTTTTCAAAGGAAAAGTAGGTGCTGTTTATACTCACTCGAATCAGGTATTGTTTATACTCAGTCTAATTATCCTTGCTGAATGGACTTGGAGATGTCAGAACGAACTTCAACTCCCAAGGGAACAAGCTACTGAAAAAAATCTACTATCATAGAAGGTGGATAGAATCTTCCATCTCGGAAATTCTCTTCTAAGACTTCACGGTTAAAATAATGTTCCAAATATCTTAAAGTCAACAAACAAAAAGTTTCATATAGACTTGGGCTTGCATCGCAGAATCCCGTTAATGACTTAAACCCATGAAATTTAAAGATCATGTGTAGTTGACTCTTATTAGCAATAGACATTTTAAGAGAAACATCAAAAGGTTTTCTTTATGTTCTTTGCAACTCATTTGGGATCGAGTGGCCAACTCTTCTGTCAAAGATTTGTCACCTCTATTTGGCAAGGTTTTAAATATCGGATATCGGGGAAATATCGGATGGCCAAAATTCATATCGGATTGCGGATATCGGGGAAATATCGGGGATATGTGGTAAATATCGGAATGCTATAATGAATGTTTGCATACATAGTATAATTCATTAAAATGTAATCTCAACATATGTAATAAAATTTAAGCATACAAAATATGAATAATATATGTTTAGGATCACTAATCAACCTTCTAAAACAAACAAAAGTGCAAAGCAACGTTGCAACATTCGATCTGCTTTTTTTAGGGAAAAATGTCATTTGATATAATGGGGAAATCTTGATATCTCGTCCAAAAATTCCAAACACGGTATATTATTTTGCAATAAGCTATATAAAAAGATATATTGGTCCACATATCGGCTAATATATCGGGCATATCGGGGATTTATCACTCAAAATAGCCAAAAAGTAGTAAAGGATATTTAAAGACCATATCGGTTGCAACAAGCCCTGTAAAAGGATATATCGGGGGATATATCGGGCCATGTCAGGATATTTAAAACAATGCTATTTGGAAGCAACTCAAAATTAAATTTGGTTTTACGAGAATTCCTCCCTAAAATTCTAGATTTTTTCTACTCGTGGAGGAAAAAAATTAGAAAATGTCATTGACATACTTGGGATTATTTTATTATGACTGTGGTTAGGATCTTTTGGCACGCAACAAATAATAGAATCATATTATATTATGCTAAATCTTTCTTTTTTAAACTAGGGACTCATGACAAGTACGCAAAATTTTGAGCAGATTCCCCAGCACTGTAGAAAAATCTATTCCAGTGCCTGCACCTCCGGGAGTCATAGATGCTTAACAAAGTGAAGTACATAATGTATCCTGATCGTATCCTCCCAATGCTTCCTTGGAAGATGAAGAAAGAAGTGATTTTGGCATGTAGTTTCTAGATTTTTTTCTTTTTCTGGCTGATTGTGATGTAAGTCATTCCCTCTCAGAAACTCTAAGATCTTGTTGACAGTACGCCTAATTTCTTCATCATAACTAATGACCAATGTAGAGGGAGGACTTGATGTCAATCCATCACACAAACCTATAATGATAGGAAAAGATGCCTTTCCATAATTGTTCTCACACTTTAATACTCCATTGTACCTTACATGCTTTGTGATAACTAATAAGCATTTATTTTATCTGAAAGTACACTGCATAATCTCCCTGTTACCTTACAGTAAGCTTGTATAGACCTCTTTTCTTTTGTGTAAATTTTCAAGAATTTATCTTAGTAGCTATAATGACAGACTTCTCTACATATCATGATAGTTTGTACAACTGTGTATTTCTGTTTTCTTATAAATAGGCAAAACAAAATGTGCTTCTCTTCCATCAGATAATTGTTCCCTTAATTTTGAAATGCTTTAAACAATTACTTGGCCATAATAACTCCTTATTCCTTAAACACTCAAAATTAATAGGAAGCATCATGGCATTTATCTATTTTGTTTTCGTTTTCTTTAAAGTATCACTTCAATAAGCTTAATATTTCCAGAAATGACTTAACATTTTATTTAATTCTCCTGGAAGTTCACATTAAACATGTTATGAATATAACTTCACTATTCTTATTTTTTTTGTCCCTTCACTAGCGCTGTCTTATCTCCGCTCATAAAAATGAAAGTCAGTTTTTCCTTATTCCCCTCACCGTAGAAGGCTTATCTCCCCCTGAGAAGCACATATACTTAAAGATATGAGTTTTCATTAGACAGATGTTTATTAACATTCTCATTTCCCCTGTTATACATGTTTCTTTGACATTTTCACTAATCACACGTTTGCCCATCTTTATAAATCTTCCTTGCTTTAATAAGGAGCATATAACATTTTAAGTGTTAAACATAGAAATCAGGTGGCTTCAAGATATCTAAATAACATAATTAGAAAGTAATTAGTGAAGCAGTTGACTGTGTGAAAAATCAAGATACCTATTGATTGATATGCAACGATAAATGTAAAAAGACAGAAGAACTTGTATGCTCAAGAAATGATCATTTAAGATTCAAAATAAAAGACACTAACAAGAATAAAAAATGCCTAGTGCAAACTGAGCATAACAATTAGCTCAGTGATTTGCAGAAACTCGCTGCAAAGCTATGTTTTTCAAATACATACAAGTAATGATACTAAATTGTTGACATCAAATATCTCGTATAGCAAATCAATAAATATGGACAGAAATGGTAAAAGATGTAAGATTCTGCATTAAAAAGTTAGCTAGGTCTGTATAGAACAAGTAGCGAAGAGGATGGAAAGGCCTAAATTAACATGGACAGTAGTTGGAAGGAGAGAATTGAAGTACCTGCTCTGACAAGGATGTTTCCCTTAACATAAATCAATAACAAAGATGGCTTAAGGCTAGCCAGAAATAGAAAGGACACAGCTTGATTATAAACATATACTATTTAAAGTAGAAGTTATTATAGGATGATTGGCAAAGGAATCATAAAATGGAGCTTAAACAGTTGGAATAGAGTTTGACGGTTATGGATGATAGTACTCTGAAGCTATATGTTAATAATTGTCAAGCATGCGAGCAGGTACAATCTTACACTAAAGACATATTTATCATACTTTGTTCAAATGCTGCTGGAAACTACAATAACTATAGATAACTGGTTATACATTAATTGATCAAAGCATATTATTTGAAGGTATCCTTAGATAACAGTTTCCGCAAAACTAGAAACGGAATTGCTGCTATAATGATGACAAGGAGGTTGTCAGCTATGTACCCCAGGGAGCAAAAACACAAAATCTAGTATCAATGCACAGTTGATACACAGAAAATAACGTTCCACTTGCCTTTTGCCGTGTCCACCCAAGTTGTTGATTGCGGAAGTGAATTCTCAATAGCTGTAGGGAGACACCGATCAGTATAGGTCCACGCAAAGTAGAAGCATCAAGCATGCACGGGCAACAGAAGATTAAAAAATATACAAAAAGATATTGTTTGAAGCAATGCATTGTACTTCTTTCATGTCTGAGACAAGGATTCATTGTTTATTTTTAATAATAATACATCTGCTTTACTGCATTGCTTGAAGTAGTGACATGAGAAGGACAAAATCATTAACACCAAATCCGCAGACCACTATTCATCGCTGCAAGAATCCATCAGACTGCTAGCGATTCTACACTTCTAATATACAATCTTGTACATAGGACAAAATGGGTAAAGAATATACTATCCATTCTGTTATCACATTTATATTTGCTTGCAGACAGGACTGCTAGCTGCATCCACCAAACAGAAACTGGTCACTCTCCTCCTAAAGGAGTTGCTACCAGCAAACCAACAATGAAACCATCTAGAGATATTGTGTCTGAAAAAATTTTATTAAATTGGATAGACTTTTTGGGAAGCTACTGTTGCTCACCTATAATATTCTTCTTATATAAGTACTAGATTTGTGATAATAAAGAGCACGGAACACTCCCTTTATAGTGATGTCGGCCTCACACAGGCTTTCTCTAAGTACTCATTTTATTTTGGGTGCGTAGGTGTGGCTTTCTTTCCTTGCTATATACTATGTTCTATTTAGATTCATTAACATCTCACTACATGTGGGTGAGCTCCAAATTTTCCCAAACAAAGAGAACACTATTGCATCAGTAGCAATGACAATGACAATAACAATAGTAATAATAATGAAGTAGCAACTTATCAACCACTAGTTGCACACTGAAAGCTAGGTGCAACAATATCACTTCTGTTCCCAAATTTTCTGATAACTAAAGTTAAGAACCTTCTGGGAATTAAATTTTATAAGTTAATACATCCATAAAAGTAAGGTCATAACTTATTTCGATTGACAGAAAAAGAAATTCATAGAGTCAAAAATTATAAATCAGAAACAAGTCTTAAAGTTGAAAGTCACATCACGAAAACCAGATAACCTAGGAAGCAAAGAAAAAAGCCTCGACCATGGGGTTGGAAAGAAGTCCTAGCTGCATTAAGGTGATGGACAGTGATTTATAGGAATGTTAAAGCCAAGTCCTTTTAAGTTGTATCCTTAGTCAAGAAGCATCTTTCAACTATTCACGTTGTGTGTGCAAAAGAAAAAATATTCATGTGTGTGCATAGGAGCAAGATGCAACCTCACCCACTCATCCATCTTAGCATTTTTTTTCCTTCTCGCAATAGAAAAAAGCAAGTAGATTGGCATGAAAATACAATATAGAAAATTACTCACCAACTATGAAAATTGATGTCTGGATGAGAATATCAACCTTTTACCAACAACTTAAATTATCAGCTTAGCATTGAAGATGTGCAGTAGGACTACGCTAAAATTCACCATACACTAGAGGACCAAGGTTTTAAATATCGGATGTCGGGTTCATGTCGGATGACTGAAATCCATATCGGATAGCGGAAATCGGGGATATATCGGGGGACATTGATTAAATATCGGATTGTCATATCGGGTAGTGCGCATATGTATAATATCATGTCCTAAATGTAATCTAAGCATTCATAAATTCAATATAAACATACTTTATAAATTCTATAGACTAAACATATAAAAAAGTAAATAATATATGGATTTGTGTTCATAAATTCTTTCTATCAGGTTCATAAGGAACCCTTAAACATGAGAATGAGTCAAACGAGTTTGAGTATTTATCACTAAACCCAAACCTGATAAAAAAAAGTATCTTAAAAAAAGTACCATATCGGTCGATTTTTCAAAGCTAAAAAATAGGTCGATATGCCCGATATGACCCTGATATTTCCGATTTGGCCCTGAAAACCGATATACGAGTTGAAAACGTCTATGTCACGTCGGTCAAGCTCTCAAACCGATATGTCGGCCGACATGTCGGACATGTCGGTCGATATTTAAAACCTTACTAGAGGTTATCTTGAACTTGCATGAAAGCATGGAAGAGTATCTTAAATTAATGTTAAATAGGATCAAATTCATAAATCCAAACAGCTATTTGCTGTTAAACAATATAATATAGAACAATACCCAGGATTGTGACTAATAGTGTGGGGAATATGTTGATAACTTGTTAAATATGAGAAACAACATGGATGAGAGGGAAACAAAACTGACATTTATTTACATCATTTTATGAAGGACAGAGATCAAATCCCTGATCTTGGATATGCTAATTCTTTTGAAGGGTGATCTAATGGATCTACTAGCATATCTAACATAATCATTAAACCATTTAGTCATGACCCTCAAAGCTTCCTCTATTATGTAGCTATCAAAAAACAATGCGACGCAGATTGATGAGGATGATTACTGTTAAGAATAAAAGCCGATTGAGCCACACTTAAGGTTTCAACATCCAAAAGAACTACACAAAACCTTTCTCCCCTCTGGAAAAAGGGAAAATGCAATGTGTCAATGTAGCTATCAAATACAAGTATCTTAATGCCAAAAAGGCATTAACATATTAAGTGCTTATGCTGTAGTAAATATTTATGGTAAGTTTTGAAACTCCCTTTTAAATATGGTGACTAGGACTAGCTATTGAGATAGAACGTGACATCTTGGAATCCATAGCTTTGCATTAAAATCACATCATTGGTAAAGTTATAGGAGAAAGGGATGGCGTCAAAAATTTTGAGGACTTCTACCACAGACTGACAATCGAAGCAATAAACTATTTATTATAAATTTCACAGAATGTTGTCTAGGACATTAGTGGTGAAAGACAACAGTATAATTCTTTGAACAATGTAAATGGCCTTGTGAATCGCATAGGATTAAAGGGTTAGGCAATGAGAATTATATGATATGAGTGGATATTTCAACTTAGAAGTTGAACCTTGTAAGATATGCATTAATAGACTAATGGTTGGCGGATACAACTGGGTATGTATGCTAGGGGTGCTAAACCGTATCCGTATCCCAGGAAATATCTATAACCGTATCCATTAGGATATGGATATGGTTACTCAAATCTATAGCTGATAGGATATGGTTAGAGATATGGTTTTGTAGTGAAATATCCAAATCCGTATCTGAAATATCCAAATACATAGTAATCATATTGTGACGATAGTTTTAATCCTTCAATTCATAGATTTGATAGTTTTAATCCTTCAATTACGATAGTTCTTTTGTATCACATGAACTATATTTTCCTTCGATTATGGATTTGAGGTTAATTTTGATGATCAAGACGTGTAATATAAGCTTTTTAGATATAATGTACATATTAATGAACTCTTTTGTATCACCTAGTTTTCTCATATCCGTTTGTATTCGCATGCATATCCGCTTATATATCCCCAATCCGTATCCGATTTTAGCGGATATGGATATGAAATTTCCTCACCGAGATATATCCGTATCCGTATCCATATCCGATATGGGTAAGCGGGTATGGATACGGTAAGTATCATATCCGAACCGTATCCGGACGGATACACCCAAGGTATGCCCCTTCAGTTTCAATGTATTCTAAATTTTTTGATGATGAAAGGTTCCCATACAAGCATAGAAAACAGCCGCTTGGTTTGAATGAATATCGTACCGGTTGATCCCATATTACTCATAATGTATTCTAATCTTTTTACTTATGCTATGCTTAAAACCTTGGAATATAAGATCCTTTTGATAGGCAACAAGCATGTTGTTTCCCTTCTATTCTAGATAAGTGTCATTTTTTTATTTAAGACTAATTTGAGAATTCATGAAGACGATGGGTTTGATTTGACCTTGATTCGGGTAAGTCAAGCCCGATCCGAGCTCCGGAGCTTCCCTAGAATCCTAGTTAAGGTATGAGCTGATATGAACATAGTAAGCAATCAACTTGTTTCATCTAGACAAATATGTACAAGTTACCAGAGCGAGATGGGGAAACAAAAAAAAACAAAATCTAGGGGGGATAACTGAGCAACCAGGACACGCCACTAGACTTTGCTCGTTAATGAACCGCATTCCACATCGCACGACAGAAATAATAAGAGGCAAACTCGGAGATCGAGGAAGGGATTCCAAGAATCGAATGATCAATTAAATTGGAGAAAGAAAAAGGAGAACGAGAGAAAGAGGGGGGAGAGAGAGAGAGAGAGAGAGAGAGAGAGAGAGAGAGAGAGAGAGAGAGTAGAGGGGGGAGAGAGAGAGAGAGAGAGAGAGAGAGAGAGAGAGAGAGAGAGAGAGAAACCTGGAAGAAGGCGAGGGCAGCAATTGATCCATCGACGGCAGAAAGGAGGGCATCGGCGACGAGAAGGGAAGTAGGGAGGCATCCCTTTCTCGCCTCCACCATCCAATGCATCATCATCACCATCCCTTTTCGTTTCCCTTTCTTCTCCTTTCTTTTTTCCCCCCTTTTGGGTAACTTTCGAGGGGCCCGCCCTGTAGATCTCCAATGGGCCGGAGGCGACGAGGACGAGGACGAGGACGAGGACGAGGACGAGGAGGACGGCTCTTCTCTCTCTCTCTCTCTCTCACTCGCTCAGGCGGCAGGACGCTTTAGGCTTTTACCGATTCCTCTTTCTATTATCAGCGATTTTTTTTTATTATTATGTATAACGAAGCTGCGTATCCTCGTTTATTTTCGGTATGCGCTAAAGAGTGAGCGTGGGTCTTGGCGTTAGTGTTGGGTTTAAAACAACATAAAATACAAAAATAAATAGATACATAACAAAATAGTAGGGTAATAAATGAGGGAGAGGGAAGCGGACGCCGAGGGACGAGGGGAGGACACGAGGCAGGGGGGTGACGATAAATTTCGAAAGGACCAGTGGATGGGGCTTCTGATGGACGGCGCAACGAGTTTGGGGCTCGCTCCCCACCCCGCGGTAATGTGTTCGCGTTTTTAATAGCGATTGATTATCACGGCACGTGAATTTCATCGGACAAATTTTTAAAACCACCCTTTTTTAGATTTTATTTGTAAAAAACTATCCCTTTTGAAAATAATTACAAAAACCGACCTGTTTTCAGCCCAGCGCTGAAAACAGGTCGGTTTTTGTAAAAAAAATTCAACTCCCGTGATGTTTATCGAGAAATTAAACTTCACGGGAGTTGAACTCCCGTGAAGTTTAATTTCTGTTTAAAACTCCACGGGAGTTCAACTCCCGTGGAGTTACAGTCCAACATTCCAGAGAGTCGATCTCTGGGAATTTTGGACTGCAACTTCACGGGAGTTCAACTCCCGTGAAGTTGCAGGTTTTCCACAGCATGCATACGTCGACCTATTTAACTCATATATACAAATATTTACCTGTTGACAATAATTACTGCAATATATATATTATTTAAACACGCACGAATCAAACAATACGCAAGAAGATCACATATCGAGCTATAATTGATCCATAAAAGTATAGTATTTGAAAATTCATACAATTTACAAATTTTAACAAAATAAGTTCAAATACAACCCAATATAGCTCCTCTCCTTCCTCTCCCTCTCTTCCCCCTCCCCCTCGCTCTTCCCCGCCCCCTCTGCTCTGCCCCCCTCACACGCTGATGAGCCTCAATATCTGAGTAACCGGCTGTGTATGAGGCTGCGAAGTAACCGGCTCCATCAGCATGCGAAGTGGCTGGCTCATCAGCATGCGAAGTGCCGGCTGCCATCAGGATGCGAGAGTGCCGGTCTCCATCAGCATGCGGAAGTGGTCGGCTCCAGTCAGCATGCGAAGTGCGGCTCGCATCAGCATGCGAAGTGCCTCGTCATCGTCACGTGGCCGACAGCGCCGAGTGTACGGCTGGCCCAAATGATCGAGACTTGTCGCTCACGGCCTGCGAACTCGTCGACGTGAGTCTTATGAAACACCTGTGCTATGGTCTTCTTGATCCTGCCGAGGAGCCCTAACGCCACCTGATCCTGAATCTCAAGCACGGTCGCATCAATATCAGCCTCAATGCTATCAAAAGCACGGAACTGTGAGGTAAATAATTTATTAAGTACCAACTCAAGAAAAAAATATTATAATTTAGCTTAGAAACTTACGTAATCTCTCTCGTTCATCCCACTAGGGATGTAACTGTCGGTCGGTGGCCATGGCATGTGTCCAGCTAAGGGCTGTGGATCACGTGTGATATCCCAATACCAACCCATATACGCGGTATAGTCAACAGCCGTGGGCCTCGTATCCTGGATGAAATCCCACCTGTGAGCCCACCTGTCTATGTAGGCCGCACGGACTACGACCCAGTCGGTATGGTGCGAAGTAGGTCGCCGCCGATGAGAGATCTGCTCGACAGGCTCTGGCACATGCTGAGAGAGCGTAAACTGTCGTAGCACACGGTCAGGAAGAGAGATCTGCTCGACAGGCTCTGGCACATGCTGAGAGAGCGTAAACTGTCGTAGCACACGGTCAGGAACATGCATCTCCACGATCTCCCAACAAATCAATGGAACTCTCGCTCTCCACAAGTCGGGACTATCTCGGCAGATGGGTGCAAGAGAATGCATATCCAGCTCCGGTGGTGTATAGGGTCTCCACTTGAACTGAAATAAGATAAAAAATTTATCAGTATCAACAACAAAACTATAATATTCATAACAACTTGAGATTTATATTTACCTGTTCGTGTTGGAGGCCATCAAGCTCATTGCGGTAAAACTCACGATGGCGCGTCGTTGATCGGTACTTAGCGTACCGCACGTTATACCTATATGCAGAATAGAGAATATATAAGTACAAATTCAGTGCGAATAAAATTTGTGTGTACAATTATACCTGTACGCCTAAGGAAACTGCCCCTGTAGGTCACGGTGCACAAGTAAAGTAGGGCGTCCAATATGAATGCGCTCCCATGACCAAATCTGTATTAATGTGCAGCATCCCTTGAATTCTTTATTCTGCATCAGGGATACTCTACTCAGTTCTCGATACAAGTATGCCAACACCCCCCACGACAGTGCTTCGCATACTCCAAAATCCTCTAGCAACGGCAGCCATCGTGCATGTACAAGGGTCTTGCTCGCATCAGGAAAGAGCACGCACCCTATCATGTGCAATATGTAAGCCCGAGCATGGAATTGGAGCGTCTCCATACTGGCATCCTCTGGTATGTCGCCCTGAAATGTCTGACGAAGTCACGATAGCTTCATCGCACCACTCCTCAAGTCCGGAACCTGTCCAAGAAGCCGGGCACATACCTCCGGCCAACTATGATCATCGGTGTCCGTAACTGCCGGCCCATCGATCTGAAGCCCAAGTATGACAGCCACGTCCTGTAAAGTGATGGTGCACTCCCCTATATGCATGTGAAAGGTATTGGTCTCTGGCCTCCACCTCTCAATCAAAGCAGTGATAAGTGACCAATCAAGCCTGATATATGGAACCGTCGAACACTCCCGAAAACCAGCCTGAGAGATCAGCGCTAGAACTCTCTCATCCTCAATGACCCAAGCTGAATGGCTCTGGGAATGCTCGATCATGGTAATATCAGGTACGGACTGCACGTCAAAAAATTTGATTAAGTATAATGTGAAAAATTAAAATTAGTACCAATGCTAACTAGCATATACAAAAGATGTTTTACCTGTACTGAGCCAATATAATCTGAAACGTGGCTCGCCTGGAGGGTCAAAACGTCGGGGCGTCTCGGTCCCGGATCCATAATGAATAGACCTGTGATTAAAATATGAGCATATATACAGAGTGCAATGAACACAGTATCATACAGAACATATTACAAATAACGAGTATCATACGCTTCAAAGATAACAAATATGAATGCTAAAGGTGATCTGACATAACACAAAACACTACATAATGGAAATGCATGGGTGAAATGAACACAGTATCATACAGAACATATTACAAATAACGAGTATCATACGCTTCAAAGATAACAAATACGAATGACATAGTGCAAAACACTACATAATACAAATCAACGCCTAATACTAACTGGACACCTATTTTTGTTGTGACCCGGTTGATCACATCTACTGCACTTATTTCTCCTCCTAGCTCCTTCACGTCCGTCATCCATACTATTTCTAATACGCACAGAACGAGGGCGCCCCGCCGATCTTTTACACAATGGAGGTAATATCCGTGGCCCATCTTGTGTCCAATGTCGACTATCGTATGGTGGACGAAAACACTCTTTGTACGTTTGTTGATAGTTGTATGCAGAATACCAAGCGTCGACAAGTTCATAATGTGAAATGCGAGCACCACCCTGTAGGTCGGAGCAAGCTGCTACAACATGTGAACAAGGAATCCATTGTAGTTGCGGTACATTGCAAGTGCACGTATAAGTGTGATCCACCAACATATTGACTTTGTAAGAGCGATTTTCTCTATGGGTTATTCCCTCGAGCACCTCCCATTCATTAAAACTGTATCGTACAACCTGAAATGACCGAGCTTGTACAATCCGAGCCGCTAGCATTTCATCAACCTTCGGTGTTAGCTGGGAGCGCATATTTTCACCAAGTTCTCGACGTCGAACAAAGAATTTATTAAGCCTGTAAAAAGTTTTAGCAACTAGTGCCTGTATTGGCATGCCGCGTGCTCCCCTGAGCGCGCCATTGAAGCTCTCAGACGCGTTCGTAGTCATCATACAGAACTGTTTGCCGCCATCCTCATATAAAGCCCACTTATCAACATTGTTTGGACCCAAACTAGTTTCGATCCAATCATGTGCGGCTCGTGAAGTGAACTTGATCCTCTCTCTCGTATTTGTTCATAAACATATTTTTCTATTGCACATATCGTAGCCACTTGATATTTGAATGCCACTTGTTCTGTTCCCCACAACAGGATAATTGCAAACCACACTGAGGTGATACTCACGTGAGTTAGTTAATGTAAGTTTGTGTAATTCATTAACCAACTCATCGAAAGTACACGATTTTGTTATGAACAACGGTCTCGTCGTGCCTCCTTCATAAACGGGCATATTATTTTCGAGGTAATTAATCTTCCCATCATAAGAACAGAGAATTACAATTCAATCGTTCATCGTTACCTCTGAAGAGTGAAAAATTCAAGATCAATATTACACGAAAAACCAAATAAATATTGATTATTACTAATTTTTACATTTAGGTAGTAACTCTTAATACAATAATTTTCGAAATTATTGATAATCACTAGTAGAAAATCGATCAAACTAGACGGAACAATCTAGACGGAAAAAAATTCCGTCTAGTTTGGAGCAAACTAGACGGAAAATTTCCGTCTAGATTGTTCCGTCTAGTTTGGATCAAACTAGACGGAACATTCTGTCTAGTTTGACAAACGAGACGGAACAGTCAACCTAGACGGAATTCCGTCTAGGTTGACTAGTCAACCTAGACGGAATTTCTGTCTAGGTTGAGGCAACCTAGACGGAAATTCCGTCTAGGTTGTGCCGATTTGGGGGGAGGTGGCTGCCGAGGGGGGGGATGGGAGGGTGCTCTGCGAGGGGAGGTGCTTGCGATGGGGGAGGGATGGTGGGCTCAGGGAAGGGGGG